AGTGTGTCTCTCTTCCTTTTTATTTTTTTCTTTCCGATAAGCATATTTTTCGGAAAAAAAAATCCCTTTCTCGATTCCAATTTTTCTTTCTTTCCTTTCGAATCCTGCCATAGCTAGAACCTTCAACAAACTCTAGCCAAATATTTTTCGTTTGTTTTCTGGTTGTGGGAAATGTTGCTTGTTCTTTGTTTGAAAAAATCGTTTACTATTTTAGAGACCTTGTTTGTTGTTTGTATTTAATTTCTACTTCTCCAATTGTTACGATGGAAGGCAATTCAGGAGATTCTCGCCCCAATCTTGGGTGGTGGTTCTACGGTAATTGACCCACCAGATTTTGAGGCACCTCTTCACCGGCGTTTGGAATCCACCTTCCAATTCGTCCCTCACAATATCTCGGCCTTGGTCCCTACAATCCTCGCCGAGGTCTTTGACTGGTTGCACTCAATTGATTGGGTTAGTTACGGCGACGACGGCTTTAGGGTTTGTGAGGGAGTTAGGGCTGGCGGCAAGGGATTTGGGGTGAGCACCTCGTGTTTTTTTTTCTTTACATGTTTTGGTTTTGCATTTTGCAATTTCATGTTACATATTGTTTTCTCGTTTTGAATTTTTTCTTCAGTTTGCTGTTTGTATTTGGCGAATTCATAGGTAGTCTTTTGTTTGCAACTCAATAATGCAAATTTTGAATTAATTTTCCAGTTTGTTGTTTGCATTTGGCGGAATCATTGGTATTTTGTTGTTTGGAATTCAATAATACAAATTCTAATTTTCATTTTGCTATTTGCACTTCACGGAGTCATAGGCTGGGAAATCTACTGCCAACACATTAAAGGTCAAGAGCAAGGTCAAGAACAATTACTTGACAATGCTTCTTGACACAGGAAGCACTCATAATTTCCTTGATCCACAAACAGCAGAAAGCTAGGATGTGAAGTGATATACACTAACAATCTGCTAGTCACTGTAGCCAATGTGAATCAAATGGATTGTAATGCTAAATGCCCAGCATTCCAGTGGGAAATAGGGAAGCACTACTTCATATTTGAGATGAGGTTGCTCAGGCTGGGAGGATGTGATGCTGTAATTGGAGTAGACTTTATGTAGAAAGTTTGGGCCAGTGTTGTTTGACCATGTGAACCAGTTTGTCACACTAAGGCATGGAATCAAGGATATAACCATCCATGCTATAAACATGAAGCTTCTATTAGCATGATCACTGGACAAATGTTGAGTAAGATGTTTAAAAAAGGGCAAGTAGGGTTGGGTTTTTTTTTCATGATGAATGGAGAGCAGAAGCAGCAGTCATTTGCTCAAAACCAAATTGTTAGTGTGGATGGATTTCTATTGGAATACAAGGACTTATTCTAAGAGCCTGTAGAGTTACCACCTAACAGAAACATTGATCACCAAATCACTTTAAAAGAGGGAGCTATTCCTTTTAAAGCACAACCTTACAGATATCCATATATGCAGAGAAAAGAAGTGGAAAGGATGGTAGAAGAGATTTTCAAAACTGGAGTAATTCAAGCTAGTACAATTCCATTTGCTTCTCCAGTCCTCGTAGTCAAGAAGAAGGATGGGAGTTGGAGGTTTTGTGTTGATTATAGGAGGTTAAATGCACTCACTGTCAAGGATAGCTACCATATTCCCACCATTGATGATCTTCTGGATGAATTGGGCAAGGCAAGGGTGTTTTCTAAGATTGATCTAAGAGCTGGTTATCATCAGATTAGAGTCAAAACTGAGGATATCTCAAAAACTGCATTTGTAACCTCTTCATGGCATTATGAGTTCAAGTTTATGACATTTGGACTCACTAATGCTACTGCCACTTTCCAATCCTTGATGAATGACATATTTAGGAGGCGGTTGAGGGAGTTTATATTGGTATTCTTTGATGATATATTGATTTACAGTGCAAATGAAACCATGCATTTGGACCACTTGAGGATAGTGCTGGATCTGTTGAGGCAGCACCAGTTGTATGCTAAATCCTCTAAGTGAAGTTTCAATCAAAAGCAAGTGGAGTACATTGGCCATGTGATTAATGAATATGGAGTGGGAGTTGACCAGGAAAAGATCAATAGTATTAAGAAATGGCCACTCCCGCAGAGAGTTAAGCCTCTGAGAGGCTTCTTGGGGTTGACAGAATATTATAAAAAGCTTCTCAAAGGTTATGGAACCATTGCTAAACCCTTAACAACATTACTCAAGAAAGGCCAATTCTCTTGGAATGAAGAAGCTACCGAGGCATTTGAAGCACTGAAATCATCCATGATCAATACCCCAGTGTTGTAGCTTCCCAACTTCAACAAGGGTTTTGTAGTAGAGACTGATGCATGCCAACATGGAATTGGAGTTGTTCTTATGTGAGAGGGTAAGCCCATTGCTTACCTCAGCAAGGCATTGGAACCAAAAAATGTTGGATTGTCCATATATGAGAAAAAGTTCCTGGCCATTCTTCTACCAGTGCAGAAGTGGAGATCTTACTTGATATATGGAACCTTTACCATTAAGATAGATCAAAAGAGCCTTAAGTATCTTCTAGAGCAAAAGTTATCTACTCTCTTGCAACACAAATACCTAGCCAAGCTAATGGGGTTCATTTACAATATAGAATACAAAAAGGGAGTAGAAAATAAGGCTTCTGATGCAATATCAAGGAGATGAGATCTTATGGAGTTAGCTCAGGTCACCATTCTCCAACCAATGTGGATGAAGGAAGTGGTAGAAAGCTACATTGATGATAGAGAAGTAGAAGAAGCCATTGTGGGATGTACCATGAGGCCCATGGATGTTTGTTTCTTTGAATACTGTGAAGGAATCCTGAGGTGGAAGGGAAGGATTTATGTTGGAAGTAATTTTGATTTTAGGAGGAAGACATAGAGTTTATACATAACTCTAGCTTTGGTAGGCACTCAGGAATTCAAGCCACTTTACAGAGGGTCCAAAATACCTTTTGGTGGCCACAAATGAAGCAGAAAGTAGAGGAGGTGGTTAAGGAATGCCACATTTATCAGATCAACAAACATAAGAGTGTGAAGAGCCCTGGGCTACTGCAACCTCTTCTTATACCAGATCAAGCTTGGTCACACATCTCTACGGATTTCATTTTGGGATTGCCAAACTCTAAAGGAAAATAATTTATATGGGTAGTAGTTGACAGATTGACCAAATATGGGCATTTTGTTGCTCTCAGTCACCCTCTTACAACTTATATGCTATTTAAATTCTTCATTGACATAGTATATAAGTTGCATGGGCTCTCTACTAGCATAGTATCTGATAAAGATCTCATTTTCAATAGTAACTTCTCGAAGGAACTCATGAAGGTTTTGGGTGTGCAGCAATAGATGAGCTCTGCTTACCATCCTCAAATGGATGACCAAACAGAAAGGGTAAACCAATGCTTGGAGACATATTTGAGGTGTATGTGTGGTCACTATCTTAAAGATTGGAGCAACTGGATTCCCTTAGCTAAGTGGTGGTACAACACTACTTATCACTCCACCATTCAGAGGGCCCCTTTTGAATCACTCGATGGTTATGCTCCCCCTCAAATGGGGTATGGCCCACATTTGATGCCCAAAACAGTGGGAGTATAGACTTGGACTAAAAAGCACCAGTCCATTACACAAAAGTTGAAGGAACTGCTGAGGCAAGCCCAAGAAAGGATGAAAAGATTTGCTGATCCCCACCGGAGTGAGAGGACGTTTGAAGAAGGGGACTGGGCTTACCTCAAACTGAAGCCTTATAAGCAACTCAGTTTGAGGAAGAGTATATTGTGGATGCTAACTCCCAAGTATTGTGGGCAATTCCTTGTCCTTAGGAGAATTGGAGAGGTGGCTTATGAATTGAAGCTACCTGAGAACACCAAGGTTCACCCCATCTTCCATATTTCACAACTGAAGAAGAGGGTAGGAAAATCTGAGAAGGTGATAGAGGATTTGCCTCCAATGGATAAAAAGAATCAAATAATGTTGGTGCCAGAGAAGGTGTTGGAGCGTAGACTGGTGAAGAAAAAGAATGCGGTTGTTGGGCAATGGTTAGTGCAGTGGGCACACTTGCCAAGTGAGGAAGCCACGGGAGGATGGAGATGAAATGCTGAAGAATTATCCTCACTTTCAGCCATGAGACATGGCTGAAGTAAGGGGGAAGGAATGTGATGATTGGTGGATTCAAGGGGGGAATTTCGTTTGTAAAACAAGACTAATATTACATCGTTTTGGGAAGGTCGCGCTATTACTTATAAAAGCGCGTTATGACTTAGCGTTTCTTACCTCTTTGTAGCAGCTCATGAGTAGCACGTGAGCCATGGCTGCATGGCATCCAAGAAACCCTATGAAAGCCGTAACCCTAGCTTTATAAATGGAAAGTGTTGGAAGAACTCTCCAAGTTTGGACTCGCTAGTGTAACTAGGGTAGGTAGTTGTAGAGATTCCCTAGTGACTGCAATTTGATCTTTTGTAAGAGTTTTAATTGTTGTTTCCTTCCTTGTATGGACATCCAACTCGCTTTTGGAGCTTTTAATTCAAATTATCCTATTCTGTTCAATTAATGATTTCCTTGAAAACTAGCTCATGACAGATCTCGCCAAACAAATAGTTTACTAGGACATCAGCTAGTAACCGAACCAAACCTTATTATTGTATATTTGCCCACACCTCCTCGATCAAATCCTGGATTCGCTACCGGTTCCAAACCTAAGGAATGTTATAAAAGTGGAACTGCAAAAGGGCTCCCGATTGTTATAACACTAGCCGCATTGCATACACAAGTATTTTGGTCCAACGGCTATTATTTATGTGCAAACATTATTTCCTGACAAGTTCTTTTGAGTTTGATTGGTTAAACTATTTTTCCGAGCCTCAAATAGATAGGTTGAACCTCCACACTCACCCAAACCGGTCCAAAAAGTCATAAAGCAACTGCTTATTGAATCTACACCCAACCCGTCATTTATTCAACACTCGGAGAAAGCCTAAAACAAGATGCAAATAGAAAAGAAAAAAAATTATTTTCAACTATTCATAACCTGATTTCACAGAACACCCCAAAGGTTTCGCCTTAGTGGCACAATGGAATTTTCTGAGGTCGGGGAGTTTGAATCTCTTTGAGTGTACGTGTTACCGCAAGGCCAAGTCACAAGGCAAAAGAAAAATAAAAACTACAAATATATATATGTGATTTTACAGCAACATGCAAACGCTATTTTACCTTCATAGCAGTTGTATGACATTCTTTGAATAAGCTATCTGATCACAATTCAGGAAAAAATGTTCGACTAAAATTACAAAAAGGGACGGGCCCACACAATCGGCATTAGCAACAACGGCATGATAGAATGTCGCAGCATGTGTAAGGTCTGGATTTCTCTTCAAGTTCTTCTGCTGTTGGTAGTGCTTCCATCCTGTAAATGCTGCTTCTACCAAAACAGAACAAGTACAAATTTCTGCAAACTCCTTTGTGGAATGGATACACTCTCTCTGGTATTCCCCTGCAAAACCAACTCGAATGTTCAACTTCAAGACAAGACGAAAAGAGGTTTGTGCTTTGTAATGTTCAGTGTTGGTTCGTTCAACATTAAAACAGATTTTCCCCAAACACATAATTATGAAAAAGGGGTAAGTTACAAAACTACCCCTCCAAGTTTATGAAGTACAAGTACCCCATCAAGTTTTACAATCAACTGTGGAGGTTCTGTAAGGAAGTATTTGTAATTTATACACTGAGTGGTAATTCCGATAATAGACCAAACTTCGCAGTAGTTTTCTTCTTTATGTATAATTAATTACATTTATTTTGAAAGTCCAAAGTTCATTCAATTGAAAAGGACAAACTACATGTTTCAGTGAAACTACAATCATCACTACTCTAAGTCATCACTATTCACTTACACTCATAAGAAATTTTAAAATACATATATAACAAAGTCGAGATAGCAGGACGTCAATTTTATCCAATGATAAGTAATGAATCGTAAGCTAAAAACCACCTTCAGGAAGATAATAGAGGAATGTGATATCTTCGGGGGCCAAAGATATGCTTTGACTTTTGTGAATTCAGACACAAGCTTAGTTTAGTATTTGTAAGCCATTATTTAATAAAAGTTTTGCCAATTATTCTATCGAACTATGAACTTTTAAATTAAATTAATCATCTTCCATATCTAGTCTTCTCGTGTTACTAAGATTACTAAATAATAACTTCTTAACACAAAAAATCATATTTTGAACGTATACATATAATCCAGACACCAATGACACAATTACTTGAAAGTTCCGCATATTCTCTATATATAGTACAGGCTGCATAGAGTAAAGAACCTTCTACATTATAAACTCGTAACTAAACTCGTAGGAAAAGAAAGAAAAACATGTTGATGCAATATAAGGATATCAAAGAAGACAAAATTAAGAACAAACCTCATATAAACAATCCGCCGCCGACGCACAAGCTCATAAGTGGTTTGGTTAGTCATAATAAGGTAGCTGTTCCATAAGAAATTTAAAATTATAGAGGGAAAGGAGCTATTCACAAATACACAGACGACATTGTGTTTCTTAAATACTTAAATTTAGAAGAGTGAAAGACATAAGCACATGGCAATGCACTGACGTTAACCATACCTATGAAAAAGGAGCAGCAGCAGCAAAAAGATTAGAGAAATTGACAAAGTAGCCAAGAGCAAGATCATTATTATATCTGCCCACCTGAAGGAAATTCAGTTCAGTCGGCATCAGTTCCAACTAATTACGGAATTTCAATCATGACAAGCTAAGAATAAAAAAACGGAAAGTTAAGTCCATCATGAATTGGATTTACATATTAATATTGTGGGCATAGGTCCAAGGTCCAACATTCGTATTTTGTCTCTTTAAAACAAAAAGTTACATACATACCATGCCTTTGATATATTGGACTTGAGGTAACCAATGTACAATATGCTCGTCCAAAGGCACAAGGCTGTTTCCTCACATATGTACCACCTGATGTACCCATAAACATAAATTTGATGAACATGGTCACTTTCCAAAATAACATTAAAATTCAAACAAAATGAACCAAAAATGTGTTCAACATTGGAGTATTTACTTCATGCATGCTAGTATACGAAGAAAACAATAAAGACTGAATAAACTTTTGGTTCTTTAAGAAAAGAGAAAGGACAAGTTCAGGTGGCATGATCAAATAAGTACCATAGATACTTTTGGAACATAAGAGATGTCCAAGCTTCATCTCTATCTTCACAGCTAAGTTTTACAAACTTAAATTAGATGATGAACCTATGAATGAATTTTGACAAATAGGAGATCAAAATTTAAGATGTATAATTGGTCTAAGCGAACTAATATTAGGGAAAAATAGAAATCCAGGAGAAGCAACGAAGGAATGAGATTATGTTATAATCAATCTCCTTTTATGTTCTTGAACAAACTCATTCATATGAGCTAAAGGTATATTTAGTCTTAGCAATGCAAGAACCAGGAAGACAACAAACAAGTAAATGGTTCAAAGACAATGTCTCGAACGAGACATGAAGCAATGGTCAAAAACAACTTGTCGCAATTATTAATTGACAAACAAACATAAGGGAACTAACCAGAAACGACAATGGTTGCCTTGGCCTATGCATGTGCCAAGCCAGACGCAATGATGATCAAATTGAAGAACACACTTGTCGCAATCATGACAATGTTTCGATCGTGGAGGCTACAAAGAAAATGCACATATGGTAAATATTTGAACCACAAGCCAAAAAAATCTTAAGATCATTCAAAAAACAGACGTAAGATTTCTGTTACGTATTCAAGTGCATGCATATGGGAAAGAACACGGGGAATTGAAAACGACAAGTAGTATTTAATCATATCAAGTGTAAAGAAACTGTAAAGATAAAAAAGGAAGAAGAAAATTCCTACTTGAATGAAATGGCAGTACGGACAGGTCAAATTCCTGGAGACAATCAATAGATGAGAGATATAGTCAGCTACCAGTTGGTTGCTTTGATTAAAAAAAAATGAACATAATAATGCACGTAAGAAAGAGACTATACAACACACATGAAGACAAAGTGCTAAAACGGATCATACTCGGTCTACAAAATTTGATGTTTGGTTTCCCCTATTTCATTGTAAGACAAGATGTGTATTTAAATAAAATATTCTCTGTAACTAAAAGACTGCCGTGATTATAAATTCTAACGCCGCTGCATTCAGTTAGTTCATGTATAACCAAAATTAAATCGTTAAACAAGCATCGGATTCAGGTTGATTAACCAATTTAGTTGCCTCGTATGCAAAAAGGACAATGTTAACAAAATGAGGCAACATTTATCAACATAGAATGATGTCACATCGTTAAACATAAACCAAGTGAACACATGACCTTGTCGACCAAGACTCAATCATATACTAGAAAATAATGAACATTGTCTAGATATAAAAATCAATTTTACTATTCCATGTAACAGCTATGGTTTGGATGACTGTTTGCACCGGGTTGGGAATTTCTTTGTCACATATCTTAATTCTTACAAAAGATATTTTTTTTCCAGTGAGGGGTAAAATTTCTCAAGCATGGGGTACCAAACAGTCTCCAAGTTAATTCACATACAGAAGAAAGAGGGATGATGAATCCACCATATCTGTCTACTTGCATATATTACATTAAAAACCTACCTCTTGGTACACATTACTAATTCTACTTATGAGTCGGATAAAAAAAGATTGCATTCCCAGATTTACTAAACAACCTAAAGGAAAAGGAAGGAAAGGAATATCTAGTCCCTTAATTAGTCCAACAAATATATGTTTTAAAATAGTGGACACGCTTTCACCAAAAGATCATTTTCAAGATCACTGAGAAGTTGATTTAAGTTAACTCATGTGTCCTAACTGTACGAGAGGTAACTCCTCAATAGGCCTTTGCAAATTACAGAACATGGAGTATGTGATGTTAGCACGCTTAAGTTATAATCCATTGAACATGGATATGATTCCGTGCCATCACAAATAACACATGCATCACTTCATCCCTCAAGTCAAGGATTTTCCCTAACTCAATATTGTAAAGCATTTGTAATATATATTTACCTAGCAGATGTTCCCGGAGGGTACAAATCCATCACTAGCTTTGTCCAGGCGGTTGCATTTCCTCTATTATAGTTCCTTGCATCCACGGTGATTGAAACGCTGTCATTTTTGCTTGAAGCTGGTTGTCTTTGCTTGAACATTATAATAAGACATGCCCAAATATACCGCAATTAGTCAACTCAATACTCGGTAAAAACTAGAATACTATTTACACACTCTGACTTATTAACCTATAATCGACTCCATGTGCCTTTTGTGTGTATATATATATATATATATATATATATATATATATATATATATATAAAGAAAAGAAATGAAAAAAAAAAAAAAACCTTACATTGAGGCAAATGATGCCCTTCTAGCTGCAGCATCTCTTTCATCAATAGCCCTTTGTACGTCAAATACGTAGCTGCATGTTTGTCTACTTTTTAGCATAAGTTCTAAATAAATTTATTTGGCAACGAGAGTAGCTTTTAAACATAATTACCCGGGAGATGTTCCAGAGGTAACAAAATATTGAATCAGTGTAGCAACAAACAATACCACATAGATAGCAGTGTACCTGTGTTGAAGAAGAAAAGCAAGGACGTCACGTTTCCCATTATAAGATCGTTAGTGGAAATGAAAAAGTTATTCCAAAAGAACAAGTGGAAAATAGTTAAAGAAGGAGCTAATACTTCTGTTCCCACGTGTCAGCCCTATTACAATAGCTTGAAGTTTCCTTCAACCAAATTAGATACAACATCGAGATCCAAAATATGCACCAAACTTCTCTTCGTTCATGGTAATAAATCAGACTCTAGTTTATTATATTCTTTTACAACTATCATCTACATAACTATTACAAATATTATCAACAGAGTCTCTAAGACAAGAACTACAACAATGAATCGTTTGGTCCCAAATACAAGATAGCTTCCAAATCTTATGCTATGTTCTAAAAGTTTGAATGCTCTACGATTAGTCCACTTTAACTAACTCAACGAAGCAAAAGGCACCACCTTCAAATGAATTGAAATGAAACTCAATAGGGGTAAGGTCATCTGTTAATTCCTTTGGAGGACTACAACAATGATGAAAAAAAACATTGAGCTCCGGAATCTTTTTAAAAACAAAAAAATGAAAATATAACTGGACTTTTAGCAAGAAACTTAAGCAAGCTAGTCTTAGTATTGATCTATTGAAGGTTATCCATTCACGTTGAAGCCTAAAATGGATTTGTTCTTAATATCCTTATCGCACCTGGGCCTGAGAAATAGCTTTCGATCCGATACAAGTGGTAAACAAAAAGTCCCGTAAAGAATTCTACAACAACCCTATAGTTATTGCCCGAACACCTACTTCATAACCCTCAAGAACCCCTCATTTTCCCATTTTACGAGCCGTTTCGAGAGCTTATACCGTATAATAACTAGATTTGCAACTAATCAAACACAAATGCACAATTGACCCAAATCTTACAATGATTGATCAGCATTCATATAAAAAATAAAAATAAAAAGTTCTTTGCAATTAATAATTAAAAAAAAAGGAAGCTCAAAACAATCTCAGTATATAAAACATTACCATGGTTCCTGCTTCGTCTTCACAATCAAATCATTGTCGAACAAAAAAATAACCCCGGCGAGAACTAGATGCAGCACCACCAACGCCAATTTCAAGGTTAAAGCGGATCTTCGAGCTGAAACAGATTCAAAATCAAAATTAAAATCAAAACTGAGATGCTCCTACGAATCGATGAAAAATTAAAAAATTAAAATTAGGAAAACCTGGATCGGAGAAACAGGGGAAGAAGCGGGAGCAACGGTCGGAGGTACGATCCCATGTGTCGCGGAAGTTGCTGCCGCATGAAACACCCATTGTTTTACCACAAGTTCATCACCTCAGCGAGAGATTTGTGTACTGTTCAGTTTAATTGTACATAGTAGCTGTGAGAGAGAGGAGAGAGAGAGAGAAGAGAGAGAAAGCGACTGCGGCGTATGAAATTCTTGTCCTGATAGAAATCTATAGCTGACCGGATTTTACAATTATCAGTTAATTTATTTATTTCTTTATCTCACCTTTTCTTTTTCTTTTTCTTTTTCTTTTTCTTTTTTTATATATATATTCGATATACTTTTTCTTCTCAAAAAACAAGAAAAATATATATATTACTTACCCCGATCCCCACAACTTCGCATGTTTTTTTTGTTTTATTATTATATTAATTGCACTTAATTGATTCTAAAATCATCATGAAAACTTTTGGTGTTATAACCATTTTTGGGACTTCTTGATATTAATCATTAACATTAACCGTTTTTATTTAAGCTCGTTTATATTCCATTTTTAACCAATATAAATGATTTATCATGCTTAGTAATTTGCCTATTAAATATGTCTTTAAAGGTCATTATTGTCACTTGTGAGACTATATATAAGGGGTTGTGTGCTTTTGACATATTAGAAGAAGATAAAAGAAAAAAGAGAAAATTTGGTATCAGTTTTCTATTCTTTATATATTAGTAAAGTTCTTGTAATAAAATTCTATCTATGCAAACATATCTCAAAAGGAAATGGATGTTCTTTGATCATATGAATAAACCATATCCATAATTGTTCTAAATGAACATTTTCTCTATTTAGTTTGTAGGAAGTTAATGTTTAGATTAGTATCTACAGTTCTTCTTTGTTTTTTGTTTAGTCAGATTTGAATTAACAATTTCTGTGAATTTCTGGAGTCTTGTCTTCTTCATACGGACATGATTCAATGGTATTTCAATGTGTTTAAGATTCTTGTACATAATCTGCCATTATTGTTTATCAACATCTTGTGGTGTTCTCAATTTATATCATTGGTATAAGCTTAGACGATACATATGGTTAGTACTCGATCTCCCGATTCACAAAATGACCAGCCACTACAACCACGACCATCCCACCAACCATCCAAGGTACAGACTCTACTGTACTTCGACTCGTTGTCATCGCATCAAAATTAAACACACTGGACTCTTTGCCTGTTGAAGTGGTGACTACTCAAATATCACGCCAATGGAGCCCATATTGGAGAAATATACACAGGTGTACAGAACAAAGGGAAGAACAACAAATTTCAATCGGGACCACGTGAAAGAGGTAGATCAAATTGGCAGACGATGATGTTGAAAACCAAAGGTGGTTTCGCACTCCTTCACGACGCCCCAACACAAAAATGAATGTCCCGAAAGTTGAGGGTGGTAATTCACGTGGATGGATCTTTAAGGCAAAAAAAATCAAATATTATCACCCTTTCGAAGAACTCAAAGTGGATCTTGCAGCCATGTATCTCGAAGGTGATGCCCTTGATTTATTTGCTTTGATTAATCGAGACCGCACATTACTATATTTGGATGAACTTGTTCAAGCCTGATAAGAATATTATGGACCGGCGAAATTCCAAAATTCATAAATTTCTGTAGCATACAACAAATTGAGTTTGGTTACATATTTCAGAAAATGCAGCTGTTGGTACAGATCAGCGAAGAGGTAAGTTGTGGGACCGAATTAACCCAAAATTTATAAAACAAATCTAATAGACGATTCTGATAGAAACTCAAATGGGCTAATGAATTGATGGTCAACCATTCAAATAAGCATTAATAAATTTCCTTCATATGACAATCAAATTGAACGAGATCCAATACTTAGGACAAAATGCATACGATAATATAAGTAAATAGAAGAAAAATAAATTATGTGTCAATAGCTTTATACATATGTACACATTTTTTAAGTGAAAGTATTTTAATCTTTATCAACAAATGTCAACAGTAAAACAATTATATTAAAATAAATAAAATCATATTCTTAAGTGGTAGACGGCTTATTCTTTGTTATTAATAGAAGACATCAAGAAAATTTACGAGAAAGCTAGCAATTTTTTCAATTCTATTGTAATCTTTTGTGTTATTAATATTTATTTCAAATTTATGCTATTTGTTAATATCTCGTATTTTTCAATGATGTTTTATATATAATAGAAAGCAGACAAAAATAAATAAAACTAAAGCAAATCACAACATGATTATATACTATAAACAATTTGTCGTGGCTACTGGCAATACTAGTTCCATTAAGTGCAAGACCAAAATAAAAATAAATAATGTACAAATACTATAGGGTAAATTCCACTTTACCCCCCTGTACTCTGCCCAAGAACCACTTTACCCCCTCGTACTCTTAATTTTGTCGATTTACCCCCTTGTACTTGTACGATTTTCCAATACAACCCTCTTCGTCAACTTTTTTTCGATTTTGACTCCGACGCCATTTGGTCAAGAGTCAAAATATTGACGTAAATATTGAATTTTTTCGATTTTGACTCTCGAGATTAGAAAAGAGAAAGTTTCACACATTCATATATTTTTTTCTTTGCACTAGGTGGAATCGATCAATTTTTGGGTCTTGATTTTTACTAAGTTAGGGGTTCAATTTGGGGATATCTTGGAAGGGGAAGTGGTGGGAGAAGAAGAAATGACAATATTGACGGAGGACAAACGACGCGTTATAGGCAGTGGCAATTTTGTAATTTACAGAGTTGACCAAATGGCGTTAGAGTCAAAATTGACAAAAATTGAAGGAAAGGGCTGTATTGGGAAATTGTACAAGTACAAGGGGGTAAATCGATAAAATTGAGAGTACGAGGGGGTAAAGTGACTCTCAAGCAGAGTACGAGGGGGTAAAGTGGAATTTACCCAATACTATAATACCCCTAATTGTTAAAGAAAAAAAAAACAAATTAATGCAATGCCATAAAATAAAAAAATCACAAAGCCACTCCTTCCTCTTCTATTAACCCACAAAACCTAAACATTCAAAACCCTCAAAACTCAACATAACCTTACAAGTATGAAGTCAAAAGACATCAAAATGGAAGATTCTATGGCGAAAAAACCCACAGGGATATGCATTTATGTGTTTTATGAGCTAAGTTATCGTTTTTTTGAAAACCAATTCGCGCATGCGCGAATCGACATTTACATGTCAAATTTTGCCCCCAAAATTCGACGCTTAGATGTCTAAATAATAGTTTCCCAAAATTCAACATCTTAATGTCTAATTTTAGGGGCAAAATTCGACATGTAAATGTCGAATCGCGCCTCGCGAATTGTTTTTAAAAAAAATGATAACTTAGCTCATAAAACACATAAATGCATACCTCCATGGTTTCTTACACCGTATAATCTTCCATTTTGATATTTTTTGACTCCATACTTGCCCTCTTTTTAAGGTTTTGTTGAGTTTTGAGGGTTTTGAATGTTGAGGTTTTTGTGAGTTTATGGAAGAGGAAAGAGAAAGGTTTTTGTGGATTTTTGAAGATGGTGAAGATGAGAATTTGGTCTTGTGGTTTTGAGGTTAGATATTTTTGGTTTTCTAATTTATGGTATTGCATTATTTTTATTTTTTTAACAAATAAGGGTATTATTAGTATTTTTACATTGAAATGTTTTAGCTTGATGGAATTAGTATTCCAAATAGCTGCGGCCTAAACAATTAAATTAGGTAAACTAGCGTAATTTTAAAAATTAAATTAATTATGTCAATTTAATTTATTAAATAAAAAAGTTAAAAATTTAATTTTGTAAAATTTTATATTAATATGGAATATTTTATTATAATTTAATATTTGAAGAGCCATTTTAGAGAGTAATAAGATACACCCATTAGAGCAATTTTAATTTGGAGAGCGATAGAAGTAGAATCCATTTTTAAAGAATAGTTAAAGATAATAAAAGTCGGTATACAACATGTGGAGCCCACTGTTATAGGTAATTTTTTGTTTGCAATTCAATAATACAAATTCTGGATTTTTGTTTTGCAGTTTGTTGTTTGCATTCGGAGAAATCATAGGTATTTTGTTGTTTGCAATTCAATAATACAAAATCTAATTTTGAGCTTGCTATTTGCAGTTCACAGAGTCATAGGCGTCAGTTTGTTATTTGCAGTTCACGGAGTCATAGGCAGTGGCGCGACGGGGGTGTTGATTTTTGAGTATGAGTTTGTACAATAAGTAGTATATGTTTTTTACGAATTAATTTAATTTTTTTAGTTAGTATTTGGAATAGATATGTTTGAGAATTTGTTTTGATAGAGAGGTTTTTGAGGGATTTGATTTGCCTAAGTGTATTTTTGTCACAATAAATATTATTAATTTATTAAAACATGGAGATTTTGACTTCGATCTGTACGCATAAATTAAAATATAGAGGGACCTATAGTAAATTGACCGATTGTAATAATAGGTGTTTTATTTTGTATTTTGTGATGTATGATTTAAAATGGGAAAATTGGCTAGATACCCCATATTTTGGACTTATATAGGTGGAGACCCTAGTTGCTAGATGAATATAGACCTAAGTCCTTTGATTCAAAAAACAATATAAATAAAATAAAATAATTAGTCTAAAGACATAAACATCTCAATTAATAAGAAAACAAATCGCATATATCACTATATCTCTATAATATCACGTTTCTCTCATCGTATCTCTCTCTCTAATCTCAAGTTTCTCTCATCGTATCTCTCTCTCTCTCTCTCTCTCTCTCTCTCTCTCTCTCTCTCTCTCTCTCTCTCTCTCTCTCTCTCTCTCTCTCTCTCTCTCTCTCTCTCTCTCTCTCTTCTCTCTTTTTTTTTTCTTTTT